ATTTGATTAATCAAAATTTTCAAACTAGTATTTTTGTGATATCTCAAGAAAAGATGCACCAGAATCAAGTATATATTCATCAAATGAGAATTAGAAGTTAAATTCAATTCAGCAGGATAAGCAATAGGACTTGTAATCATATAGACCTCACCATCACTACTGTTGAAAATAGAATACAATACATTTACCTCATCTCTCTTTACCCTTTTGCTTATTTTTCTCTTTATAGCAATCCTTTATAAAATTCCATATGTTCCCACGGCCATAACATTTCTTAACCTTGGTCATAGACCTGGATCTAGGCCTACCCTTGCTCTTCTTTATACCTCAATTACTACTTGACTCGCCACTACTTTGGTAACCATCATGTCTGTTTTGCCTAAATTGAGTTCTACCCATCATCATGTGAATCTCACCATTTCTCTTATCATATTTTTCAGCTATAATCTCCATCTTTTTATTTCTAAGGGAGTCAATGACAATTTCGAGTGTTAAATTGTCTCTACGATACTTAATATCATTTTTCACATCCTTATAAGTATCAGGTATGTAATTCAACAAAATAATAGTATTATATGCATCAGACACTGACTCTTCACGGTTAACAATATTTTGAACAAGTTTGTTAAATACGTCTAGATTTTCATCAAGATCTTTTAAATGATCCATTTTGAAACTGAAAAAACGTTCAAGCAAGTAAAGTTTGTTTGTAGTAGATTTGTTCAAATACAAGTCTTCTAACTTTTTCCAAAGTTTTTTAGTGGTTTTCAATTTACCCACTTTTCTCAAAACTGCGACAGCCAAGTGTAAAATAATTGAGGTATGAGCAAACTCATCAGTTTCTTCTTTTTGTTCTTTTAAAAAATTATTGGAAAAACTGCCATCAATAGCTTTTGACATTTTTTTATTGAACCAAAATACCTCTCATTTTTTGTTGCCAGATTGAAAATTCAAATTTTCCGTTAGAAGTTCCTAAATCAAAATTATGTGTTGTCATTTTTAATAATCAATTAAGAATACAAGATCACAATTAAGCCACGCAAAGTAGACCTATGGTCACAAATATACATTGTTTTTAGATTCTTGGGGTTTTGTAAGATTCTCGATCTTAGAATAAGGGAATATTCAAACGGTAAGGTTTAGGTATTTTAATAACTTAACGGTGCAATAAGAGATATGTTTAACCAAAACAGTTTCACACATTGAATATCGCAAAGATAGTATGCTGGAATTTATCAAATGAACATTTTACTCACGTAGTAACTAAAAAATAGTAGTTCCTAATTTCTAGTACAAGCAATGGTTACCCCACACGGTAACCCCAATCTTATTGTCACCCCATACGATGACGCACTAGTGTTGAAAATTAAACAGGATTAGCCAATTTACTAAAGTGGACCTATCTGAGTCCGTAAATTATGAGGAATATGGTTTTAACACTTTAGGACCACTACTATTCGCCATAAAGTCTGCAGCAACCAATCGAATGCAAAACTGAATCGTGAATTCGCATGGGCAAAATCGTCCATATTTCACCATATCATCTAATATAGAAAACTAACAACACAAACACATTAGAAATCTTGATAGGATAAAAATGTCCGAAGAAAGTTTCCCCAGACCACGCCGGAAGCGCCTCCACGCGCCTCTGCCAGAGCTTTACGCGCTGTCGTCATCGAAGACTTTCACAACCACGCACGGTGGACCCAAGTGTGCCTCTACCTGTAGAGACTCCATGTGGTGCTGGATCCTTCAACCGGCCATTGGTTTAGCCGGAAAATGGAATTACAATTCGGATTTTATGGAAGAAAATCGAATAGTTTTCAATATGTAATTTCTGCCCATTTTTTGATGGACTTCTTGCCAGAATCCACACAAACCAACTCTCTGATACCAAATGTTGAAAGAAAATATTCGATCACCAAGTGTTCCGGGCTCAGTATACCATCTATATACCGAATCAAACACCACAATCCTCAAACTAAAACCATAAACCACTCCCAAACCTGGTTCCTCTCTTGGCTTGCCCACAAAGGATACAATGTGAAATATTATTGTAGCCACAATAATAGCTACAAAAGCTAAAAGAGAGATGAAAATTGAAGGCACAAAGCAGGAAGCACGAGGCAGAATGTAGCTGTCGGTTTCATTCACAAAAAAAAGGAGAAGCAATTAACAATTTCACACAGCTAACACAGGGAATGGACAGCATATATATACGTATTAGATGGGCTTTGGGTCAAACAGTAATTAGGCCCAAGTAGTAGTAGTTAATGGATAAATGGGCCATCAACAGAAAAGTCATCCAAGGGACTGATTAAATTAGGCTACTTCAAATGGCCAAATAGGTTGTAGGATTAGTTTGGACAAATTGTGGTGTCGATATATTACTTCAGTCATCTAGTCAATGCCGAAAGAATAAACAATGACTTTACATCATCACCCGATAGATTGTTTGACAATAATTTGCCTAACCGAGATGATGGCCAAGGTCGATATCTAGAGAAGATTCATTTTTTTTCCTGGAAAAAATGCTTTTTTAGATGGTAATTAGTGATTTTAATATGTAATTATGGTACGTTTGGATGTTGGATATAATTATTCAAAGATTTTAGTATAATTGATGGAGATATAGATTAGATTAAATTCAAGGGTTCAAATTATATGTAAAAAACATTGGTCGAGGGAATGATTCCCTTCAATTATTATATTATATATTTATAAATAGATATAAATACAAAAAATCGTACTAATGGACTAAAAATTAGGCCATGTTTTGTTCAATTATAAAAGTTAATAAAAATTAAATCAAAGTCGAGAATTAATTCTAACTACATTTCGTAGACCTCACAATTTTTCGACCATATATTCCATCAACTTTTATCAAAATATACTAACAATCTAATTCTTATTTAAACCAAATAAGGGCTAAAAGACAAAAATCCAATTCATGATCCATTCAAATGTAAAACTCATTATTTATTTAGTGATAAGTTTTTATAGACTTATTTTCAATGTATTTACATAAAAAATTCAAAGTGGAATCTTTGAAATACGTTTAGTCCCTATTTTGTACCGTTAAAAAAATTGATTAAAACCTAAATCAAAGTTAACAATTATTTTTAACAATACATTTCATATGATCCACAATTATTCAAACGTACAGTTCATCAACTTTTATCCAAATTTGTTAAAAATCTTATTTTAATCTCTAATAAACATGGACTTACAGTTTAAATCTTGGGACTTTAGTTGAAATTTCATTTTCCCACATCGAAAAGCTATTACTCCTAGAGAATAAATGTCTTTAAATAATGTAGTTTTGTCTAGTCTTTTACTGTCTCAAATATTTAGGTATTTCTTTTCCGAATTAAATATTATATATATGTAGCCTTTAATACTAATAATAAGTTAATTTAAAATTTAAAATAAAATATAATAGAAAAAATTAAAGAAAAATGGGAGAGAAATGTGGAAGGGGATCCTTTACTCACCCTACCCCCACTTAAGTAGGACGGGACATGATGGGATGGTATAGGGAAATTCCTGATGGGACGAGGGCCTAAATCCGTCCCGCCGCTATGCCTAAAAAACCAGTAAGCTCATGAACTTTGATGATCAAGAATAAATCTACTCCACCATATGATCAGTATCATCAATCACAAAGTTTAAGAATTTCATGGGGTTCATGTCACAACAACCCGGAAAAAATTATAGTACTAACTTATTTAATTTTTTAGAGAGCTTATTAGCCGTCGACATAATGTCAAGTTAATGCTCATAAACAAACTTGTGGACCTGCTACTAATGACACGTCATCTATCATGGCAATTAGCGCATAACATGACGTTGCAAAAATATCTTACACAGAGCTGTTAGGCAAATATACTCAACCAAGTGGACAATATTTTTTTACATGATCAGTTTGTCACAATTTCAAAAAATTAATGGTTGTTCTCTTCGTGTTTCAGTTTTTAGTTTTGAGTTTTGTATTTTGAGTATCTATTTTGAAATTACTGAAAATGCATTCTTTTTATCATTTTGAAAAANGACAAAATCTGGTCGTTTTCCGCGTTTTGAAGTTTTGGCTTGATTTTAATTGAAAATAGCCAAAATGATTTTTTTTTGCGTTTTCCGTTTTCTTTGTAAATTTGAAACAAACTCATTTTTGAAAATTCGTTGATGAAAATAGGTAAGTAAATATGTTTTCAGTGTTTATGAAAACTGAAAACAACTTCTTGATTGAGTTATTCTTCTTCCACTTTTAAGCAATAGACAACTAGTTTTCATATGAAATATTACTTCCATCTAGTGGTGGCAATGGGCTCGGCTCGGCCCATCTACCCGTGAACTCGGCTCATGCTCTAGAGTCGAGCTTGTGAGCTCACGAGCCACTTGTCAAAATTTTTTTTTTTTTACATTTTTGGTTTTTAGTTTTTTTTCTCACATTTTTTACGAGCTCGTGGCTCGCCCACTAGCCGCTCATCTCATAACGAGCCGAGCATGCTTGGGCTCGTCTTTTTGACGAGCCCGAGCGGCTCGTGGCTCATTTTTGCCAAGCTGACGAGAGCCATGAGCTATAAATTTCGTTTCTTTTCCATACGTCAAAATGGTTTTGATTTGCCTTATAAGAAGATGCATGGGAATGACCATACGATTCTTAATGCTTTATACTTACCATCAATTTTAATTCCAATAGCCTCCAATTCAAAGACGATCACATTTTGAACACTCATTACGAATTGTAAGAGATTTCACTAAATGATTGTTACAATCATATAGAATTTACCCACACAAAGACCAATTTTTAGGAAAAATAATATCACACCCACCATATTTTATTCTTTCAACAACCCACAAAGAAAACAAGAAAAACATACATACATACGTACGTACACACAAAACTCCCTAGTCTCATTCACGTAAAAAAAAGGGAAAGAAGTTACGTGCGTATATACTAACAAATTAACCTAATTTTTTCTTCATGAAGTTCAACTGCACTAGCCCATGGCATACTTCTGAGTCCAACTCCTTGCAATGGCTTCATACTTCTTCTTGTTTGTCCTGTACAGGTAAGCAATATCAGGCACCAAAGGATCATCAACAACTGGATCCGCCAACAAAGCTGAAATAATAAGTAACACCTAAAATTGGAAAACCAAACAATTCAACACCATTAGAAAGTTATTGCAATTGAAGTAGCAATTTATTCAGTGTAGGAAAAAAATAAAAACATCTTTTGGGATATTGGATCCCTTATCTCAGCAACCAGATCAACAAGTTTTCAAGATTGTGGAATCTTTGAATCTCTACACTAGAAGGTTCCTTCCATGTTGACCTTAAAAAGTACGTAAGTTGAGATTGAGAAGAAAATGAAGATTAGTGGTGTTGGAAAGCTTGCAGGTTTATATGTCAAGAATTTAGGGAACTTTGAAGAAAAAGTGAGTACTAATTCAAGCATTCATTCACATATTTCCTTTTTTTATCATAGAACTTCATTGCAGAAGAGTGAAAACGAGCCCAAGTAGAAATGGAACTATTATTTTTGGTATTATAATAAAAACTAGCCCAATGGTCTAAAGGAGCTAAAGTTTTGGGCATTAATGTTCTAACTTATTTCATTATGTAAGTGGCAGATATTAACTTATTTCATTATGTAAGTGGATCCAAATGCACAATTTCAACAGGTTGGAAACCCACGCTAGAATTTTTTCTTATTTTCAAGTAAGAAGTTTAGTACATACGCATATTCAGTAAGGCCAACCAACACCAAAGATTTAGAAAACAAACCTTGGAAATGGTGTGCGCAGGACAGCGATCCTTGAACATTGCAGGGCATATGGTTCCATTTATGTTTATATTTTGGTGGAAAATTTTTGTTTTAAAAGCAATCTGTAAAATACATTGAAACGGAAACTTCCATCAATGCAATTGAACACTCAATATCAGAAATTACTTGCAGTAGATAATATTTGTTATGTTTAAAATATAAAAGAATGGAAAGTCAAAATACAGTGGGACGAATAAATAGCATAATTGACACACCTTAAAATTCTCTGAAGGGTAATCCTGCGGAAAATGGATGTTAAGTAGGAAAACTCCACCGGCATACGGACTGTCCACAGGACCGATGATAGTAGCTTGCCAATGGAACAAGTCCCTGCCTGCAGGACCTGAAATTTTTGTGCAGAAATAAATGAAACTTATGATGCATTACAGAAAACGATTGTGTGTCTTTTTCTTTTTTTTTATTTAATCATTTAATGTGATAAATTGAAAGTTACTCTTTTGTCCTTTTTTAAAATATTAAAAATGTGGTAAAAGTCAAATTTTTTGTCAACTAACAGAATTATGGATGGAAACTATCCAAAAGGACTTCAACTGCAACATTTGGAAAGATAGGGTGACGACTGCAACAAATCAAAGATTTGGGAAAAGTCTACTAATGTTTCAAAGGTTTAGAGCTTTTGCTGCAATTATCCTTAAAATAATATGTATGTTTATGTTGGGAATTTACTTAATCATGTACAACGGAAATAAAATAATTTTCAATTCCCACCAAAGATCTGCAATG